ATGTTGATTAATTGATTGATTGATATCTATTACACAAATAAGACAAAAGACTGTCTACGTACCTATGACACATTTTTGAAATAATATGCTTATATCGTCGATTGCTACATCGCCTTGATAACCAGTGCTGGTTCCTTCAATTATAATCTAAATTTTAAACGAAATAGTTTGCTTTAATAAGTACACAACATTATTATCATCATTGCCATTATTATTACTATTATCATCGTCATCGTGGTGGCGACCAACGGCTTTTGTAGCAGTGGAAGTGTTTATATACATGTACGAATTAAGGTTTAAAACGATGATTATAGGCTTTCATAAATAATAAAATGAATCCTAAAAGATCCTTTCAATGCCAGGGTCAAGGGATAATATTGGTGGTGCTATCTCAACAAATTATATAAAAGTAGAAGTGTAGAAGTGGTTGGCGCATCGGTTGTGTCTTGGACTCCCAACCTCGGGGGTTCGAAACTCTCGCTGTGCAAATCGCTTGTGTCCTTGGGCAAGGCATTTTATCTACGGTTGCCTCTCTCCACCCAGGAGTACAAATGGGTACCTGATAGGTTCCAACACTGTGCTGATTACTAGCCGCAATATTATGGCGATATAATTTAATTTAATAATTTCATTTAGTGTTCAATGTGTTCCATATGTGTTTGATCCAATGACCGGGGTAATAATGTGAAGCGCTTAGAGGCTTTGTTAAGGCATTAAGCGCTGTATAAGAACGACATTATTATTATTATTAGACCTATCTTTGTCTAACCTTGAAGTTACGTGTCTCGGTTATAGTGACATGTGCTGTTTTCCACACGTTAAACCCATTACCGGATTTTGTAAAGACTTCTGATTCATTAGGTTCTCCATTCGGTAAGAGATAAACGTTTAGTGTCTCGATGTGATTCCCATACATATGATACCAGAATACCAGGCACCTGTCATGAACCTCGCTGGATGAACGTATAGTTGGAGTCTCCATCCGAACAGTATAATCGTTGTTAGTACGATGAAAATAACTGTGACCCCAAAACCAAAAAGAGTAGTGGTAATGACCATAAATTCCTTCTAAGTATACGTAGTGTCCTGGAAAACAAAAGGTTAAATATGCACAAACCAATACAGAGTATAAGTAACACATACATTATTTTGGTTGTAATAAGTTGGTGTTTACTGTTATGTATCTTAACACTCACCCTGGGATGTGCCGAGGGTGTGGTCGTTTGTTGGTCCAGTCCATCCTGAACTTGTCGTGCCGCTGTTCCGTTGCCAATCACCATTATCATTATTAGATTGAACCATACAAAAAGAGTCTTCAAAGTCGCATAAAAAATCTTCGAAAAATTGAAATACATGGTTAGTAAGTTTAGTTGTTAGTAGGCTATTATTAAAAGTACAACCCGGCATAAGGCGGAAAGCATCTTACCTTCGTTCTTACCTACATCCGTTGTCTTATTACAACTAAACGCTTCTGAACTGAGGGACTGTAGCGTCCGTATATGTGAAAAAAGTGTACCCACAAATGTTGAAATATCCGCAAATGTCGTAACAAGTCAACCACAGATGTAAAAATGACCACAAGTGTTACAAATTTTATCTTTACGTGTAAACAATCTTTTTAACCACAAAAACATTTATCCTACGAATGTAAACATTTATATTTTTACCTTAAGCGTCATTACGTGTCAACTGCAGTTTAAAAAAATTATTGTAATATAAGTTATTATCAAATGTGGGTGTGTTTGTATGCGAGGTTTTTCTAAGCTTTAAAATCCTCAAAATATTTAAAACTCTATTAAAAATGGTGTCCGCGTAATTTACCTGCACATAACTAACAGTGTCAGTCGTTTATACGTTGCCACATAGGCTAGAATATTAATGAATATATTTTGTCATGCAGCTAACAAAATACAAAATAAAATAGTGTGACATGTATAGCATATTAAATAATTTGCATAAAGCATTATTTAATAAATTAATCAGTAAGCTTAATATTCGTCTCAGGAAGATTTTTGGCTCTGGTTCTTATTTGTCACTCCTCTGTAATATTTTCCATTATAGGTCATGTGATCCTGTAATTTTACATAATTAAAGATTGTTGTGCCTATTTTATTCCGACAACCTTATTACCCTCGCCTCTCCAAATGAGAGGCGAAGGGTATTGCAATAGCGCGCGTCTGTCTGTGGGTGTGTCGGTGTGTGTGTGTGTAGGTGTGTCTATGTGTCTGTCTGTTTGTTTGTCTGAGTTAAAAAAAAAACTACATTTTGGGACTTTTTGGGTGTACGATTTTATACATGTGTTTTTTTTTATCTTTTTTATTTTGGGGTTAACCCCATAATGCTGCATACTTGCATGTGTACCAAAAAAAAAAAAACAAAACAAAACAAAACAAAAACATTACGAGCTATTAAAGAAGGGAAACCCCAATATGTTTTTGTCTGATTTCAGACACAGTATTTCTGGCTTCCTAAAAAATTTGTGCAACAACGAATGAGTTATAATAGCGCCCTCACTTTACGCTTGTACATACATCACATGTAGATGTGTATAAGAGACAGATATTATGGCGATATAATTTAATTTAATAATTTCATTTAGTGTTCAATGTGTTCCATATGTGTTTGATCCAATGACCGGGGTAATAATGTGAAGCGCTTAGAGGCTTTGTTAAGGCATTAAGCGTGGGTGATGGCTGTCGTAGAGACAGTATTCCAAGATAAGAAAGGAGATGTTCGATCGTGTATGGTGAGGACGCAATCAGCGCTACTGGAGAGACCGGTGTCTAAACTGTGTATTCTGGTGGAAAACAATTAGGACTCAGCATTTGAAGTGAATTTGTCATATGTTGTTTTATTGCTTAGTTTCGCAATTGGGTGTGGGAGTGTTAATGCCAAGTTCACTTCCTATCATTATTTACGTCTGTCGCCCTCTAGTTTAGCCGTGTAAGAAAGTTTTACACAATATGGCTGTTAAACGTCAGGCTATACTTTGATGTTTTAAGTAACAAGTATAATTGTGCTTCAGAAGGTGTTTCTCTGTATGCTTAGAGATATAGTAAGAATGATTCATGTGTCATTTCATTAAGCAGTATATTAAGGCTGTATTTCGGATAGTTCTAAACCTATTATTGCTGTGTTTATAGGAGCATTTATGTGAGTGCTCGGCCTTCACGCTGGAATGAGAAGGTGTTTTCTATCTGCTTAGGCTAGCCTATTATAGTACACATCATTTGTATAAAGTTTTGAGATGTTCATTGTTATTAACATTTGTTTAGGTGTTCGGGGATTGTTGTCATAAGATATTTAGGATGTTTCCAGAAGTAAATGCTATGACTACATAGATGTTCAATGTAGCTGTTGAGTTGCACAGAGATTAGGGATCAACTGTACGGTAAATAAACTTCATTTTCTAGATTGAAAGTTGTTAAAATTAATAATATAATGTAGTCAACCATCCTTTAATAATTATCAAGTTCTTTGTTATTTAGAACATATACGGTGCAGGCTGTACTTTGCATGAAGCGTCTTTATGTTAATGTTCATCACTATTTATTACCGTATGTTATATCTGATATACCTTATTAGATGAGTTTAATTTTCATTGATTTACAGTTAATCGTCACTTGTATCAGTGTCAACCGTTACAGATGTGTGGTTGCACTTAAACTTGAACTAAGGATAAGAGTATACGTTGATATTCTGTCATCAGTTTTTGAGACGCATTAAACAGAACTCCAAAAAATCTCTGCTGCATTCTTCTTTGTTTGATTTATTGACTCAACAAGCACATCTATCTATTAGTATTTACATGAATTGCATACTCACAGCATTTTACTTTCAATTAGAAACTGCTGCTAGTCTTATTACTATTACTAGCGGGTGCGCTCGCTTCGCTTGCTTACTCTCTAGTATGTTAACTTCGCGATGAATTTCGATAAAGAGAATATGACCTCTAAAAGAAAATAGGCTGCATGTTGCATGTTATCACGTTCGGTTATTATAATTACGTAAGGTCAGAAGTACAGGAATCATTTTTTCTGATTTAAAGAGCATGCTTCATGGGCTCAGACAATTACCTTTGAGTTTAGGTACAGATTTTGATAGCAGTTTTATATAATTTTTTATGACATAAAATATGTAGAAAGCTCTAAAATGATATGAAACAGCCTTGATCTCAACTTATTGAGAAACCGAAAACAGACTGTGCTTGTTGAAAATCGACTGTGTTTGAAGTTGCCTTTTTTGCGTTCCATACAAAACAACTTACTGAGACCATGGAGGAAGTGTATTAAGAGAAACAAAACAGATATAATAATATATTCTTAAATTATTCAATAATTTAATAGAATCATAGCTCTTTAAAAAATTCCTACCGAATGGAACAAAAGTATTATTTTTTCGATATATAAAAAAGGAAACCGCAGGGATCTGAATAACTAGAGAGGTATTTCTCTGACTCCATGTAACAGAAATTCAAGGAGGATTTTATACTCTTACGATGATGTGACAACATTTTAAGAGCATGTATAGTTGAGAATTTCCTTAATGATGACAACTGTCAAAAATTAAATGAAAACCAACAAAAATCATGTGAAGGACTATTCACAATAAATGAATGTCTCAAAGTGTTAAAATCAATGCAAAATAACAAATCCCCGGGCTCAGATGGTTTTCCAACCGAATGGTATAAATGTTTCTTCTGTGATATAAGCCAGATCTTTATAGAGTCATGCTATTTCTCGTTACAAAATGGCATCATGTCTTCTGATCAACGTAGAGGTATTATAAATCTTATACCAAAAAAAGAGAAAGACTCTACATATCTAAAAAACTGGCGGCCGATAACCTTACTCAACACGGATTAGAAGATAATTGCTAAGATGATCGCTAATCGTCTAAAAGAAGTGCTCCCTCACATTATCCATCATTCGCAAACAGGCTTCTTAAAAGACCGATTCATAGGTGAAAATATCAGACTTACTCTACTTGACTTGACACTATTGAACATATAAACAAGAACAACATGGAAGGTATGATCCTCATGGCTGACTTTGAAAAAGCCTACGATAAACTAGAATGGCCATTCATATTAAAAGTATTGGAGTTTTTTAATTTTGGGAAAGATTTTATTGATTTTGTTAAGGTATTATATTCAGATATCTCTTCATGTGTAATCAACAACGGGCATTCTTCCTCCTTTTTTTCAGTAAGCCAGGGTCTTAGACAGGGCTGTCCCCTTAGTCCATACCTTTTCATACTATGTAGTGAAATTTTAAATTCAAAGATAAGAAATAGTAACGACATTGAAGGTATCAAAATTGAAAAAATGGAGGTAGAAATAAGTGCTTATGCAGACGACACCACTCTGTTTTTAAAAAATATCAACTCGATTCAAAACACACTAAATATCCTGAAAGAATTTAAACATTACTCTGGCTTAAGTATTATTTTTGAAAAGTCAGTTGTACTTCCTTTAGGAGTGTATAGAAAAAAACCTCTAAATTTAACAATATGAAATTAGTGTTAACTTTTTGGAATACCTGTCTATTACTCAAGCTATCCCTAGAGCTTGGAAAGAAAAACTCCAAATAAACAATAAAATAAAAAATACTCAAGAACATCTGTTAAATGAAATGATGCAAACCTCTAAAGTATGCAAACTTAATTCTTATCAAAGTAAAAATACAGTATTTAAAAACCCAGTTGCTAAAAGCAAATGGGAAAGGATGTTCAATGATTTTGATTTAGACTGGCCAGAAATCTATTTAAACCCTAACAGATGTCTGAAATCTACTAGAATCAGATATTTCCAATATAGGATTGTACATAGAATACTGCCCTTAAATGATTTTCTTTTTAAAACTAAAATAATAAATTCAAATGTTTGCACCCTTTGTCATTTAGAGCCTGAGACAATTACACATTTTTTTTGGAATTGTAAAATTACAGAAAACTTCTGGAAAAAAGTAAATTCAATTTTACTAAGAAACAAAACAACCTTAACTCTAAAGATTGTCTTGGTGACGGCGTTTGTCTTAGTACTAGCTATGTTATTTTCCAAGCTAAATATTATTTATACACATGTCGCTGCAGAAAGGAAGTGCCAACACTAAAGAGTTTAAAACGAAGGCTTCGACTTGAAAAAGCAATCGAAAAGGAAATTGCAATGGCAAACAATTCACTTCATAACTGGACTGACAAATGGAGTAACATTATGTGTGACTATTAAGTAATAATTATTAAAATAAGAAAAAAAAATAAAAAAAAACATTTTTACTCTTAAAAGTACTGCATCTTGTCTTTTTGAGGGAAAAACGACATTTATGGCCTTTTTAAACTTCAAAAAAGTATTTGATACGGTTTGGCGGGAAGGTATGTTACTAGCTGTGTGGAATATTAGTATGGGGTCGTCTTTGGAAAGCAATTGATAGCCTATACCAAGATGTTCAAGAAAAAGTTATATTTGGTATAATTGAGAATAACCATTTTGAAATTAATAGTGGAGTCCAGCAGGGGTAGACTGTCACCTATATTGTTCTGCATTCTCATGCATGAATTCACAAAGTTGCTTAAAAGCCATGGTTTAGGTGTCCGTATACATAATGTATGTATGTGAAGCCTGTTTTGGGCATAATTAATTCTAAGAAGTGGAAATTAGTTGAACAATATATTTCAGAAGTTGAAACTTATAAATACCTTCGTACCACATTTCGCGAAGCATCTCAGATCATTTTCATATTGGCCAAACATTAAATAAATGTAACAGAATTATGATCGAAGGAAAGCAGGAAAGATATCGATAAACTTGAATCGCTTCAGTTGCAGGTGGCTCGGTGTATGCTAAAAGCTAATAAAAACACGCCAAAGGGGCCTTATATGGGGATTTAGGGTGGGTTCCAATTAAGGTTCTTCAGGATATATGAAAGCAATGCTCCAAAAATGCTCAATGGCTTAAGTGCTTTAAAGGGCTACTTGATGATTCAAATGATGCTCTTTGGAAAATGAAATATTAAGAAAATATATGAGTATGATGGCACATGTAATTTGTGTAAAAAGTTACTTGTAACAAACGTCATGCCATACGATCGGGGAGTATACATGTTATTTATTGCCAATTATTCAACTATCCATGGGAAACTTCATGTCTGGTGATTTAAACACAAAATTTAATTTTTTTTTAAAGCAGGAACTGATCCTTTTCACATCGGTAACGATGTTGGCACAATATCTTCGACAAATTTTGTATAGCATTTATCAAAAAGGCATGGAAACATAGAAACGATATTTTAAATGGATCATGATATATAATGTAAAGATTAAGCATACGTTGTTGTTGATTTATGAATAATTTATATATTGTTTTTCTGCTGTATTTTTTGTGATATTTTTGGAATATTGTAAGATTTTGTGATTTAGAAGAGATATGCTTAATAAGTTGTCAATCTGGCAGAAGATTGTTAAGGGGTTGGGTTTGTGTGTGTTTGGGAGTCACATGGGAAAGGACAGGTAGGCCTAGAGTTTCTGTAGGAGCAATGTATGCTGAGCTGTCAGAGTTCGTCCGTTCTTTCGAATCATTTAATTTTGTTTTACCATATTTCCTTTTTTGAAGGTACTCATTTCCTGTTTGTTCTTTTTCTGTACAGTTAACTTGCCTAAGTCGACTTTGCCTAAATCGAATCATTAGCAAATCGATATTATTCTACATAGCAAATTGTTATGCTTTTCATTAATTAACAATCTGAATTAATATTGTAACACTTTTCTTTAAATGTGAATTTGGATTCGACTTGGGCAAGCTCAAATGTATTCATAATTTGTATATATTTCTATGGTAGAGTTGAATCTTTTTCTTAGGCCTTTTTGTTAATTTTCATGATTGTTATGAATGCACCGCCTACGCGGCTGAATGCCACTTATATAAAAGTGTATATCAGAATAAATTATTATATTTCCTCCATGCTGAGACATGGTTAGGGAATGCAGAAGAACCTAAGAATGAGCTATAGTTGAACTATACCTAATTTATAAAAATAATTTGCAATGCAAAAAAAAAATCTTCAGATATGTAATTAAAACTATTTTGTATAATATGCTCCTAATATTGTTTCTTGTTTCAAGTGCAATGTGAATGACCAAGTATTTTTTTTTTCTTAGATTGAGAATTTTATTGGATGCACAAGATAGAATAGAGAAACGAATTAGAAATCAGGGTGCAGGCTGTACGGTACAGATTAGAATCATATATGAAAAGTAAAACAAGGAGTTAATCCCCATTGATAATAGTCAAAATTGACAAGATTGTATTTATACGAAGTAACACGTGCACTAGGCACCAGTGTCCACTAAAGATTCAGAGGGAAACAACCTGGTTTAATATTGAAGTGTATTGCTCAAAGAATATATAAATGTGAGCGATATTTTCTTTTTTTTTAGCCCCATTACCCCCTTAATGGGGAAAATGGGGGTTAAATTATTTTTTTTTGCACACTCAGAAAGTGTTCCTGTTTTCTATAAAAGGTGTGTCCTCTTAATAGGTGTTGGCCGTAGTGTTAAAAGATATGTTTCCCATCGTTTCACAGAAAAGTGGCCCCTTGGGGTTCTACTTGTAGTTAGGAATGTACCTGTATTTTTAGAGTTCTTATTACGTATCTAGTTTATGTCCATCCTATAAGTGGCAATTTTTCGCTGTTGGCTTAGAAAGGAAGGAATCAATCAATCAATCAATCAATCAGTCAATCTGTGGAGAGTTCTATCTTGTGTTTCTAGTAATCATTGCGTTTACCAAACCTGTTTTGCTCTTTTTAATCTGTTTTCCTTCTCGGTCATTTCATAGATAGTATAGCCAGCAGTGTCACTAGAGCTCCCGTGAATCATCCAGTGAACCCTTTAGGGTCTCAGAGTGCTGAAGAACAGAACATTGGCACTGTATGGTTCCTTCTGCTGTATTCTCTATGTCTCTTCAGTTGTTTTTCTTTGTTAATTTTCGGATATTTCGGATATTTTCTTGGATATTTTTAATTTTTGTTCTTTTAAGATTGCTTTTTAAGTGCATCGACTGGTCCGTACGCTATACAAATACACAGCCATAATCTTTACCTTTGCAGTATGATACGATGAATGAATATATTATTTGATTGTGCTTGAAGTACTTTTCATTAGTTTAATAGAAATTCGTCAAAGAAATTTAAAAAATCTTAAAGCATTTTTAGTCGGTTCAGACAGGTAAAATCGTGTGATGATTCTATCTAGGCTAGGCTAAGATATAGGAAAGGCTCTAAGTCTCGGCGGCCTTCTGCCTCCATTTAAATTCGTTCCTCGAGTCTTTATAGATCTATAATATTCCTATTAAATGCTGGGTTTCTTTAGTTTATAAGAGCCCATTGATTCAAAGAATTAATTTTTATACACAGTATTGACTTTGAAGTGACTTTCTTAAACAAACGGCGATTCGGTGAGTGTCTGTCCTCTCTTTCCACAGGCGCGAGTGCTAGTTGTAAATTACACACTAAAGAATTCATCGTGGTGCGCGATATGACGATACATAAAATTGTTTGTATCTTTTGCACACAAACTCCAAAAAGGTCAAGCAAATTAACGGTTTGGGTAGGGATAGGAAAATAACGTTGGGAGTTACAGTGATGACGTCAAGACTGGCTTATAAAAAGTACGGAATAATAAATAAGAATTTGAATAAACTCTGTCAATTTATATTTTATGACTGTTTTAAATTTATAAAAATATATGATTACAGTACGACCAATCATATTCTTTATCTGACGGTTAATAAGACATATTTGAGTATTTAAAACTTCGTTTAAGGGGAGGCGCAATCAGCCTAAAGCCATTGATATAGCAATTAACCTATTTCCACCTTTTCCTTTAATTAAAATTTGTCGATGACCTTTTCAGTTGCATAAACATTTTCTCGGAAGCCTGGCATTAAAGGTGAGATTTTAATATAGAATAGGCTATGCTGTCGTGTCCTTTTTTAATCATATTTGAGTCAACTTATTATAAATGTTGTATATTTTCGGTATATAGGCCTAATACAAAGTAAATTACATGTATCAATTTCTAGCATTTATAGTTTTCATAATTTTCATAAACAGATCATGTACGTAATGACCAGTGTCAATATAACTTAACTAATGGCTATATGACAGATGACGGCCAGAGACACGCATATGTTCACAAACATGCGTTTTTAAGCTGTAATTTTGTAGGGACCTTAGCAATAGTATCCTAGGGATGGGACTTAGCACAACGGTCTATTATGTTTCACGTGATAATTTTAACTGACTTAATATACTATTATGAGTTGTAATAGCCCTACTAAAATATCGATATAGCAGTAAATGGTTATAATGTATAACCTGAACAGATGTAGGCTTAATAGCAAAAAATCCGCATATAAATTTTAGTTCTAACAAACCAACATTTATAGCAAATACATACTTACTGTCAAAACACACGTTGTTTAAAAGTGCAATGTTGCCGAGTTTTATCCAAACATTACTACTCGCACGTATCTTCCCTTCAAATAATACCTCACAAAATAAGAAGAAACGTGAATTCATGCAGTATATATA